TACGACGGCAATTGTTATAACGGTACGATACTGAACACGATAATTTCGTGTTCGATCTTGTTGATAACTCATTGCGTGGATAATGATTTAAGTTACACTCCGTGCGTCCACCTACACATACGCGTTCGACGATAGCCAGACGTGGAAGACCGAAATATATATATAAAAAAAAAAATGGAGGCGGACAACGTGTTCCATCGACAGATTATTTAATTTCTAGTGTTTTGTTCGTGCATTGTTCAACGCGGTTGTAGGATATCCGCTCGCACTTAGAGCTCGCAGGAAGACGAACGTTCATAGGCGCAACTAGACCTCTAAAACGTGGGATGCTAAATCTATGCATTACAGAGCCGTAGGATGCTTCCCCCCTCCCAAACCTAAACCCACAATAATATGTAAATCAAAACTTTAAAACTCATACGTCTATCAACTGAACAAGCCATCGAAAAATTGTTCTCAGAAAATCTGCAATTGAGATTTTCAATCACAGTATCAGTTATTGGAAAATATACAGTATATTACAGTATCCGTAATGTAAACCTTAACGTTAATCGTCCGACAATTATAGGAATATCCGAATATCCGATTATGGAATGAATTATAATTAATTATATTATATGACTCACGACCGAATAAAAAAATAAAAAATTCATGGTATTTCACTAAAATAATAATAGTTGGATATAAAAAAAAATAAGGTGGTACTAAATTTTACTTGGAGGTGCTAAAGACCTTTTTGCACCTCTCTAGTTGCACCACTGCGAACGTTTTAAGCAGACGCGTCTAACATAACGTGGTGTAAACATAATGCGTGTACGAACGATAATTGATATGAAATTATGTGTATACTAAAGGTGTTAAACAAGATGCTTGCAATGTTCACAACAAAAACCATTTATATTGTTTTTGTTCTTCTCGAGCTAATAACTCACTACATGATCATTAATCATATCGTATAACATGCGCGCGTTGTGTTTGAGTGTGTATGATTGCCGCAAAAATCGCATTTCAGACCGTGAGTGAACCAGACATGGTGCACGCATACGCGGCACGCGCAATCCCGTCAGATTCCGTTTCGGATCCCGTCAGAACCGCACGAAAAAATAACAATAATTAAAAAAAGTATATTTAATACGTGGGATGTTTAGTAAATAAAAATATCGTCAATTGTATCTAAAGCCGGCCCCGTCTTATGTTTTTTTTTTTGAACCCGAGGTAAGTTATACGGAGCAGCTTTATTATATTGCACAGTAAATAGTATCGACAGGTAAGAAAAGAATAAGTCGAATTTATTGTTCACCCATAATATTCGCAAACGGTTTGTTTCAACGCATGGTAATACAAAAATAAACTATTATTATTTTGCGAATTATTTTGTTAAAGACATCAGGGTCGTCTTAAAAAGCCGTGTGTCACGGTGGTTGAAAAAAGCGTTGATTTTCCCTCTATGTTCTTCTGGTAAACAGTTTTGTTGAAGTGCCTCCCAGTCAGAATTACTTAAAACATGCTCTGGCCTCAGTCCTCAAAATAGCTCATAGCACTTTTACAATTAGTTGATATTAATATTTTCAAATAACAGTCTGGTCACTGAGCTATAACATTACCCACAAGTTTTAACCTTTGTTGCGCACACTAATTGCGTGTCATTAAATTGCTGTACAAGCGTTTAACGATGTTTTAAAATGTTACGATTAATAATTATATTCATGCATGATTTATGCATCCTGTTTTTTATTTATAACGTAGGTACGAGTAATTACAATCAGTGCGTATGAAATATACCAACACAACAATTGTAATTGATATTTACAATGTTTATACGAAAGTTATGCGGTTAAACGGGTGGGATGGATTTTATACAGCTCGACGCGAATGGTAATGCGTCCGTGAACAATGTAGTCATAGTTTTCTAAAAAAGTTATCTCGATATTAAGGAATGAGGAACACATAATTACTGGCCAAATACGTTTTACAATGTTTCAAAACCGCGATATTGCACCGCTGATATTTATTGGAATTCAAAGAATCTAATTGCCGAGAAGTATGGAGCAAACATAAAATGTTGTTTTCACTTTTTTTTTTTTTTTCACTTATGCGATTATTTTATTTTATTTTTATTTATCGAATTAGGTCCACGAATTATATTAACTTTATGAGACTTAAAATATTTTATGCATTCACACTGTGCGTCTGTCAGCCACGTACATTATTAATTGTTCCTAAAATAAATTAAATTGTTGTGATTTTATACTATTGCTCATTTTCTTGGTCAACTGGTGTTATAGAAAAAACAATATTTTTATATCTTAAAACGATAAGTCTTATAATGTTACATAACATTTCGATATCATTTTTATCTTACAATTTTTCATATTTCTATGTATGTATGTGTTTTTCTTGTTTAAATGGCTTACGTTTAATCACACACCCTGAAGCCACCACTATTCTAAAATGTTTAAAAACGTAAAATTGTTACAATTAGAAACATAATATTTATTTTTCCGTTAGTCTCTGAACATTGTTACTTACACGAAGTGTTAACAATTACCCTTGTATACGCTATTTCGCCACACGCAATGCTCGAATTGGGAACGGGGGAAGGGGTATGATGGACTGAATAACCCAATCGTTTTTTCAAACATTGAAGCGTAGACCTATCGTGTACCAACGGGATCGTGCTCGGACGTTCCGAAGTAAAAAAAATTACCTGGTACGATATTTATTTTCCAAGTTTTTACAACGACCTCATCTACAATTATCGTTGTACTGATACGAGTTGAAAATCGTCGGTAAAGTTTCCGATTGGACGGCATTTAACCGTCAACCTATTCGATTTCCTATTTTTAATTCGACCTAGAAATACTCCTATAAAAAAAGAATAGAAAAATAATAAGTTAATTAATGAAATAAAAAATACGATTTCGTAGTTTTTACTAGTAGGAATTTCGGCCACCTTAGAATGTTCGTGTTCATCCAACGATTAACCGTTAAAAAAAAAAATTCAAATAAAAATACCACAGAACGAACGAGACTTGTGACTTACTACCAGGAGCAACTCGTCAGGGGAGACTTTGAGACTTCCCTTAAAAAAAAAAAATCAGCTACTTGTAAATAATAACTGTTTAAAAATGTATAGATATATTTTTATTGAAAATACTCGTACGTTATAGCGTTTTCTATAATTATTATTATAAATTTAAGGCCATAAAACTTATAAATAGTTATTTCAATGGAAACACTCTATTTTAGTAATTTCTACGACGGTCGCCGTTTCAATGAAACTAACATCCGACAATCGTAACACGTAACGGTTTGGCTTATTGGACGGAGAGGGCCGAGGAGAATAATCCGTGTATTATAGACGTTACTGAAACTGCTTTCACGACAATAATTTCCGTGCCATCGCGCCGTCGTCAGTCGCTAAACACCGTCGTCTACGAATTCGCTGATAAAAAAAATTGCAGAGTTGGTTTAAAAAAAAAAATTACCATTTAATCAAGTTAAAAATACTAAATAAATATTAAATTGAGTATTAAGTGTAATTGATTTTCCGAGAAAAGGGTTTTTCTTGTTCGTTGTTGTATGGGGCTTATGTTAAATAATTTAAGTCTCCCCAGCGGTGCCGGATTAAACATTTTTGGGCCCTACAAAATTATTTTTTCCATACATCTTTAACATTGCTATCCAATAGTTAAAATAAATAGCTCCAACTATCATTAATAAATGAAATCATGTTTATTAAGTTTTTTTTATTTGCAAGAAAAATTAATTGATAATTATATTATATTATTTTTATTTTTTTTCAAAATAATTTTATTATTATTACTGCACGTAATACCTACAACTTAATATATAGGTATATTATGTTTCATAATGACTTTTGTCCCGTAAATTCGTAAATAAAATACAATTATAAAAATATAGTTTTCCGTTTTTACAGGACTCCTTGTACGAGTGAGGCCCTAAGCCGGGCGCCTAATGGGTAATCCGGCACTGCTCCCTGAAGCAGCCCTACTGCTTGCTACCGTAGACGCAGTGCCGCAACTACAAATAGGAGGCCCATGTGCGGTAATTATATTAGGCTAGGATTTATTTTTGTCGTACGTCTTATTTATAAGCATTGACGCAACTAGAGGGGGGGGTTAGGGGGGCTTAACCTCCCAAAATGTATTGTAGCCCTCCCCCCAATTTTTTTAATTATTTAAAATTTAATGATGATTTAAGCATGGGATAGTGAGATACATACTAAATAATATGAGTGTATGACGCAGAGAATTATTCAAAAATAAATTGTATAAATTTATAATATTATTATTATAGTTTATTTTGTAATTCCTACAATCCTACATGATTAATAATAATACTGTTATCTAATAAATGTGACGGACGACGATGGAATATTGCAGTGGTGTTATGTCATATTTCATGTAAAACATACTACATAGAAGTAGGTACATGATTTTTAATAATATAGTATGGTAATAATATTTTATGATTGTTTTTATTTCAATTAATAATTATTGTTCTGTGTTTGCGGCAATGGGGGCTCACATTGACTAAATTTATTCGTAGGGCTTCAGCCCCCCCCCCCCAATATTTTAGACCTAGTTGCGCCAATGTTTATAAATATCAATTTTTTTAGGTTTTAAAACACGTTTCACATCAGTTAGTGTATGATATATATATATATATATATCAAATTAAATATCAACAACTGTTGTACATTATACTTCATTACTAGAGCTAGGATTTTGGTGACTTTTGCATTTTTTTTCTTTTAGTGCTATACAATTCTAACCAAAAACTAAATTTGTTTCGTGATTTAACAATGTAGAATATGTAATTTTTATTTTGCATTATTTTGCATTTTTTGCATTTTTTGTGTTAAATGCATTTTATTGCATTTTTAAGGTCATTTTTACGTAATATTACAAATATTACGTTCATTTTGTGTATTTTAACTAATTTTTGTTTATTTTAAGCTTTTTTAATACGTGTTGTAAAGGTTATCCCAATTAGTACCTATAGGCAATTACCTACTCCAGTCCATTGTTATTGAAAAAGTAATCTAAGAGTAAGTAAGATAAGATTACATATCGAACGAACCCAAAACTATATAGGTATACAATAGTAGCTTTCGTAGTGAATACGACACGTACCTATATGGTTCTACACCGATCTGTACACTATTGTATACTGAACAAATAATATTACGACTAATATTAAAAATTAATATTAAAACTTTAAAAATGCCAAAAATTAAGTCAACAGTAGGAAGCCGTTTACGTAGTTTTGTGAGTGAGTTTGGTGCCGATATTTTTTCTACGGACGGTATGGTGCTTTTTTGTAAAGTGTGTAATGTTGCAGTTGCCTCCGAAAAGAAATTTACAATTCAACAGCACATCATCTAATTGTGCAATGCAATAATATGTGTACAGGTAAAAAAATATGACATATTTTTCATTAATTTATTTTAATATATGATTTTATTGATTTTTCAGAATAATTATACCAGGAAGCGGTTGAATTCACAAGTCAAATTTATACCTATTTTATTCATAAATCATAATTATTAATTAATATTTTAAAAATAAATTTTTTCACTCATCTAAGTACATTTTTTGGTCATTTTTTAAGTTCATTTTTTAGAGTTTTTAGGTCATTTTTGCATTTTTTTTAGTGCATTTTTGTGTATTTTTTAGGTCATTAAAATCCTAGCTCTATTCATTACATATTAATGTAGTTTAGGTAGGTATGTTGTACGCCTGCTCAAATACTCCATGGACATTGTTTAAATAAATATTATATTACTCTAAAATATTATAACATCCTTAGATACCTGAATTTTAAAAAAAGTTTATTTTTATTACAAAATAATTATATATTATTATTAAACAATTGTGTGATAGTAAAACGTATGTAAGCCTTGGGGCCCGCGGCACACTCTGCACGCCCGGTTTTTACGGCAATGCGTCAGTTGTATAAGTTCATAAAGAATTTTCGCTGGGCGACAAAAAATGTTTTTCTCAAAATAATCAATTGCATCATACCATACGTGCGTTCATAGTATTACACGTTTGCTTCGCGTCGTTTCGCCCGATCTTTCAAAACACTGTCGACCTGTGGCGTATATAGAGGGGGGGGTTCAACCCCCCCCCCCCCCCCCGAGATTTATGGTTAGTACGATCCACGTGTGCATTTCTTTAATCTATGTATTAATTAAAACCAAACTATCTAGTATGGGAAAAAAATGCTCTCTCCTAATTTTTAAGCAAATTATACGCCCAATTCTTACCTACGCTTGCCCGGTATGGGGTAATTGTGCATCCTCGCACATCAAAAAAATGCAAATTGTCCAAAACAAAGTCCTCAGAATAATTGCAAATGTTGCGTGGTTCGTCAGAAATCCAAATCTGCTATTGATACTTTGAATAAACTATCCGTTGATTTTTTTCCAAATATATGGTGCTTAATGTCAATATTAGTAACTTTACCAGTCTCAACAGCGTCATCAGAAAGATCGTTTTTGATATTGAAAAGATTGAAGTCGTGCTTGAGAAATAGTACAAGCGAGAATCGACTAACAGGATTATCTCATGTCAATTCATCGAAGTATTTCAATAAACACTGAAGAAGTGATAAATAATTTTGCAAATCTACCTCGAAAATTAGACTTTGTCCTGTAATTAAATTTATGTATTCTAATTTTCATAGTTATTATAAATAAGTTAATTTATAACCTTCATTTGGTACATATTTTTTCGTAACCCCCCCCCCCCCCCCCCCCCCCCGAAATTAATTCCTATATACGCCACTGCTGTCGACGGAGTCCGATCGCTGGGCCTACATTTGTGTCGCCTAGTTAAACCAGTTGAAAAATGCACACTGCACTGCGTGGACGAATCATTCGATACGTACATCGGACGCGTATACGCGGGCAATTGTGGAGTCCACTGAGAAGTGCAACAGTAAATTCCCTTGAAAACTTTTCGCCGCTGAACCGTACGCGTACATAAATATTGTGAATTCCCCCGAGACGTACTGCCGTCGAACGTTACGTCTGCGCGTTGCCCGCACACCCGGGCGGGGGGCTGGGGATCCGCTAACTGATAACACGTTATCGCGATTCGCGGTCCGCACGCGCACGAACCGTACACAACTTCGGAAGCCTAGGGACCGCGGGTCAACGTTGGACATCGTTTCCGCACGTCGTCGTCGTCGTTTGAAACGTGCACGTCGTATCCCGTCGTTCGAACGCCGCGGCCAGCCGGGACGGGTACCGTAAATGTCGCGTTCCCATGGGTTCACGGGCGTCCGGGTCTGCCCATCGTTTCGCCGCCGAGAACCTCACGGACAGCCCGAATAATTGCCGCGTGACGTAACATCGCATTTTCCGTTCGATCCGCTTTCGTCAGGCGGTACCGTTTCTCGCGTCGTCCGTGATTCGTTTCCGTCGCCGTTCACGTGACGACAGACGATTGCCATTGTTCTACCGCGAACAGCGTTACGTTGTTATTGTCTCGGTTGTTGTCTGTTCGTTTGATTCTGCCCGCCGATCGCGAACGATCGAACGCATATTCACGGAGGGTGGACCGCCGCGGCAATACCGTCGTGTAGATCTTCGATCGCGAACGAATGGCCGTCGACCGATCCGGGTAATACTCGTGCGTATCCCGATCCACCAGTCCAATAACGACATCCATGCCCGTCGTCGACGTTGGCCCGAGCTCGGTGCTTCACGGTTGTCTCTTGTTTCAGTTGTTTAATGGCTCACGTTATAACGAGCGAAGCTGGCAAATGCGAACGATTGCAAAAGAATCTTCTGAACTCTGTGAAACAATGTCAAAAACGGTTCGGCAGCTCTTCCGAAATAGCAACGGAAATCGACCTGGAAGTCGCTAATTTGTGTCATTGCCTAGAAGCGATATTGAGTCATGGGATGAAGTCGAAGACTAACGCCGAAGACAAGTATAGAAAAATTAATGAAAATATATATGTATTTCCTGTTTCGTCTCATAAATTTGATCCTCAATGGTTTTTTAGAAGTTCCTTGTTGAAACGACAAGTGTCAAAAATTGTCACTGGACTTTCAGATGGCGACAAGAGTCAAAATCGCCTTGTTCCGTTCTGGTGTTTTATTAAGGAAATACTGAACGAAGCGGAAATCCAACGATTTGATTCGCTAGCAAATATTAAAAATGATTACGGACGTGGAAAAGCATGGTTACGTGCGTCCATTAATGAACGGTGTCTTGAAAAATACATGCATTTATGTATCAAAAATGAAAAGCTTATTAACCAGTATTACGAAAAATGGGCGTTCATGAGTAATAGTGAAAAAAATTCTATATTACCCAATACAGCTGCTGGTTAGTTTAATTTCATATTGTGTGTATTATATTTTATAATTTGGGTTATACATTTAACTCAATTAGTATTATTTTTTTTTCAGGTTTATCATCAATAGTATTTGCCTTGAATATTGACAAACTTGAATTTAATAAAGATGTTTTAGATTTAACATTAAATGAACCAATCATTGACGGAGGTAATAGCTTTAAGTAATATATTATTGATTTATAAAGAAAATTATTTAAATTTCGTTCAATCCCTCATCATTTTAACAATTCATGGACCAAATTATTTCATATTTTTATTGTTTTAAAATAAACTAAGTATTTAAATGTATAATTTCTAAAGTCACTACTTACATGCCATTTAAACATGTTAGAATTAAAAAAAGTATTCATAACTAATTAAGAATCTGACTAGTTGAAATGTGGGCACTTAACTGTTAAGTTCCTACTACTTTAACTAATTAATCTCCACTTTTAATTTTATGCCACATAATTCCTATGTTAAATTATTTATTTAATAATTAGGTAAATAGTGCATTACATTTTTTTTAGAATTAATTTTCCTCGTATAAAATTATAGATGTTGATTCAGTGTTGAAAAAAGAAAGTAATGGAAAAATAAAGAAAGTTAAAGCAAAAGTAATTAATTTTGATTCAAGTGAAGATGATATTCAGACAGCTGAAGAAGTTAAATCTGACGAGGATGTTATAATGGCTGTTGGTGATGAAGCAACATCTATTTCAACTAGTTCTTATGATAAAATTGTGAGACATTATAACTTTATTTTAAACTTATTTTAAATTGTAATGAAATTAGTTAAAAAAAAGTATTAATTGGATTAATTTTTAGACAGGTTATTTTATTGGAGAGTTTGAAGATTTGCCGTCAACTGAAAATGAATTAGAAAATAGGTACTATGAATAGATTTATTTATGATTTAACAAAAATAATATTGCTTGACATGTAAATTTGACAGTATTTAAACCATAAATTGATTCATTACTTTTTATGTGAATTTAATAGAGGAGTAATTTTTAATATTTTGTTAATATATATTTAATTAATACTAAACCATTTGTGATTTTTCTTTAGTAAATTTAAGATACTACTTTTTAAGTAGTATCTTTTTACTAATTTAAGATACTATTTTTAAATTTGCTCTCGAAATGCATGAGTTGAATTAATCAAGTTATTTTGAAGATTTATATCATTAACTTGCAAGTCAATAGTATACATATTTTATTTTATCTAAAATCAAACTATTTTTGTTTTATTTTGTTTTTTGATTATTTGATTAATTTGCATACTTATTTGATTTAACGTATATTTATATTTGTATTAATTTATTACTTATCGTTTTAAAGGTTGAGAAAATTAAGTCCAATAGAAGAAATGAAAGCTTATGAAGTATTTGTACCAGTATCTTCTTTAAGTCCTCCTTGTGATACAGGTATTTAATATTCTATAGATTTATCGATTCATTTCTTTAGAATTATTTTTATATTTGATACTTATAAATTATTTTCATATTCAGATGACGAGAGTAAGTCCATAGGGTCAAATGATGAAAACAATAGCTTGTGTAAATTTGATGAATCAAAAGATCATATTTTTTTTCTGGAAAAACAATACAAAGAAAACATAAGTGAACTTGAAACTAAAATCACAGATTTGATTCGGTGAGTATAAATAAGTCATCTCATAAACTAAATTATTTGTTTTTTTTTTTTTTTTTTTGCATAGTGAAAACGATTTGTTAAAACATCAGTTACGAAAATATGTGAGTGCTGTACAATTAATGAAACAAGATGAAAATGAAAGTGAAGAGGCTAAATTATATCAACAAAAATTAATTCAAGTATTTCATTTTTCAACCCGTCTTAGTATTTATTAAGTCTAAACTATTGATTTTATTAGGTTGCCGAAATGCATAGTGAATTAATTGAATTAAACAGTCGTTTAAACAATACGATTATAGCGAAAGATCATTGTATTACTAAATTAAGAACAGAATTAGTATCATTAAGAGGTCCTTTGCCTTCAGATGAAATACCCCATACAAACATACACTTATGGGTTCCATCAGCATTTTTAGTTGGGCGAATTAGTGATCCTCATCATGTATACCAGGTACTTTTTAAACACGTTTAAACTTTTTTGACTATTCTAAATTAATTTGAATATTGTATTAGATTCATGTGCGTATTCTAAATGAAGAATGGAATGTTTATCGAAGATACTCGCAATTTACAGAGTTTCACAAAGAACTAAAAAAACAGTATAATGTTGTGTCGTCAATTTCTCTACCACCTAAAAAGACAATTGGAAATAAGGTAAAATGATTTATTCAACATTTCATTAGTGTAAATTATTATCATATATATATATAAGTAAAAAAAAATAAATTTAACGCGATACTAAAAAAAATCAGAAGGTCTTAGCTTAGTTGGTTTTCTTTGAAAACAACATAGCAAAGCACACTCAAGTATTGGCTTTTCCTCTTCAATTAGGGATTTAAACAACCAGTTAAATTTCATTAATTAAATAAATATTTTACATTAATAGTATTATAATTATTAATAAAATTGAATGGCTTAGTAATATTTAAATATTTATTAATTTTTATCTCAAAATAGGTAAAAAAAATAACTCTGTACGAGTCTTGGACATTGGGTTATTATGAATTATTCTTAAATCTTAATATTATATTATAACTGCTATTGCATGTAACCATATATTTTTATTTCTTATAATTCATTCCTCAGAAGTCTGATTATATATCTGATTAATTGCAGTGATTATAAGTAACCGTTGTTGCTTAAAACGTACTGAAGTAAATTACATGTATTAAAAAATACGTGTATGTAGCTAACAATACAGTAAAACCTCTATAAGTCAAATTTTCGATAACTCAAAGAAATGCCTTATCCCTTTATGCATTTTAATATATGATATATGTGATACATTTTTTTGATAATTCAAATTTTTCAATCAGATTAAGTCATTTAAAATTAATTTTGCCTTATATATCGATTTGTTTTATGTATTTTACCGAAAATCACTGAAACAGTATAAATATTGTATGTTCATAGATAATGTTAGTGAATAATTAAGAAAAGCTTAACGAGTTAAGCGGGGAGGAGTTGGATATTGATGACAATATGAAATTACCTTTACCTTTAACTACTCTTGTCCAGGCGTTTGATACTATATAGGTAGTACGTAAATATATTTGTGAACAACATGATATTCCAAACAAAATTTTTTATGCGCCAAACATAATTGAGCACTTAAAATATACGTCTTATCATACAATTAAAAACAATCAAAAATATGTAATTTCTTCCAAAAATAATCCTACTTTATTTATTATTTACATATTTATTTTACTATAGAATACTTTTTTGAAAACTGTGATACATATTTATATTATACATAATATAAATAAATAAATAAAATTATAAAATAAAAATTGCGTTATATTTTTGATAACTCAAATTTTTTTTTCTGTTTGCCTTGGACCTATTCAAGTTATCGAGATTCCACTGTAATTATATATATATACCCTTAAAAAGCATCCAACTATTAGATGCTTTTTAAAGGATGTATATTTCAATGGTCACTACGACATGGTTCATCGTTTACATTGTTCACGGTACTGATTTTCAAAAATTATTAATACTCCATTATGAACTTATCTAAAATTTTAGTGCTAACATTTTTCGATACATGAACTAAGGTTTGAAACGTCTTAAATATATAAAAACTTGATTACAATATTTATTTATTTCTAAGGCATTGAAGTATTTGTAATATGGTTTAATTAAACTAAATCAACTTGATTCATTTGTTACAGGGTGCCAACTTTGTTGAAGAACGGAGAAAAAAGCTTCAAATTTACTTAAGACAAATTATGAACTTTTTAATCACGATCAATCGGGTTCTGGCCAATTCGCCAAACAAATACAAATTGGTCAACCTTGTACCATTTTTCAGGTATTTTATTTTTTTTCATTAATTTTGATAATACATTAAGATTTTTTTTTAATATCCATTGAACCTTTTTTCAGCGAACAATACAACCAAAGCTTTTGTGGCAAAAGGTCGTGGTTGAATTTAAGTTGTCTGATGCCTCAAAATTCTGTTGTTGATTTAAACACCCGTTCTCAACCCCATTACACTGGCTTATGACATATTACATACTCTAAGTTATTTATATTGTTTTTATAATTATTATTATTATTACTATTTGTTATTGAAATGATTTGATATGTTTATTAAAATGTTAAACGTCTGTGATTATTTGCAATGAAATATTTTATCTAATGAATTTTAAACACAAATTATCAACAAATGTTCATGTATAATATATTTTTATATTGGAAATATACATTTTTATAATACGCATACATTTAATCTATAAATACATTTAATCTTGATCCTCTGAAAAATGTATATTATTTTTAGTTTTAACTATTTTAACGTATCAGTTGTTACACCACTTTTTAGTTAATGATTCATATTCAATTTGTACAGTAAAAAATGCATCACTATTGTTTTAACATGCAATAGGACTTTGAACAAACCACTTATAAAAAGCTTGAAATATGCTTCTGAAACAAAATGTTTATTTTTTTTTTTTTTAAATTGATCGATCAAGAATTTACTTTTTTTTCTAATCTTTTCTTTTTTTATTAGCAATAAACTGATGTAGATAGAACAAATTGGCTAACGTTACATAAGCTTTACGTTACATTTTCATCGATCAAATTCGTTCTGATTTATAGCCTTATTATTGTTGATTGCTGAGACGTTTCTTTAGAGCTATGTTCATGAACAAGATTTGTAAGCATACGCTTGGTTGAGACCATTATAAGACATATTGCACAACAAAAAATTTTTAAAATAACTGATCAATCGGGTGTGTACGTGTTTATTTTTATGCGTTATTTTGAATAATTTATGGAGTTTTTAAAATCGAAATATTTGATGTCAACAGACCAATTTTTAAAAGATCATTAGAAACGAAATCCGAACAATTAATATGACTAAGAATCCATCAACTGATTTAGGTAGGCGAATAATATTTAATACGCATCATATTGATCAAGTACAAAATATGCATCGAATAATAAATATTTTATTATTTTCGGGGATTCAATAGGTTTGTTAGACCTTCAGGAATAGAATGTTCAACACCATTTGCATATCATGCCATTGAAGCTGAAAATTCAGTAGTTCTATCACTAATCACATTTTTAATAGTGATTTTATAGAGCCTTATTTTGTAATGAGCTGTACTGCGTTATTTAGAACTGTATTAGAATCATTGCTAAATTGTACATTAAGTTTTTCCAATTGATGCAAAAATAAACAAACATTATTAAAACATCAGAGTGCAGTCAAATCTAGCAGCGCCTAACTCCATTATTCAACACTACCATTGACTGAATAAATATTTTGCTTATATAACTCAAGCTTATTATGCGGGTTCACTAATAAAATAATACATCTGAGTCGTAAACGTCGACTGAGCTTAGTGCCAAGACCAAACTTCTTAATTTTTAAGAAAAACAAACTTGTATTTAATCACCGATATTAGATAAATATTAGCCTTTTGGTTACTTTAAACACACTAGTCGTTAACTAATGTGAACAAAAAACAATGGTAACTATAATAATGATAACATTGCAACTTCCAAGGTCACAGAAAAGTACAGTGGTTAACAAACCAAATGTTGGTTATTCTCACTGTAATCTGTTTTATTAGATATTATTTTATAATTTAGTTTCAATAAAAGTAAATTTTTGCAGTGATAAAAAAAAGTTTTATAATATTGTTAACAGTTTTTTTTTTATTATTTAAAATAAACATTTGTTTATCTTCATAAATGTAAATCAAAACCAGTTACTTGCAACAGTGTATATTTAACATAGCTTAATGCATAATGTTAGATTAATAAATTACCCGAGTACTTTTATCAAGTTGTTATTTTATCATGTTTAAGACGATATCCAACGTACAAAATAAAACTGATACGTGCATCAGGTTTAAAATAAAATTGAAGTTAACTCAAAAAATAGACAGAGAAAAAGTTATGTATTGAACTGATAAATAATATTTACACATAACGAGAAGAAAATAATAAATTTTACAGAAAATCATGTATTAAATGTGCTTATTTATTATTGGATTTCATTACGAGTTTAAAATATAAACAATAATGACTCTCTCCCTTAAAACGTTATATATCCTAGGTTTACATCGTTAAGTCCATAATGGCATTCACGATGTCATTGTTGTTCTTGAGTAATGCTTCAATAGCCTTACGCTTGGTCACTTGTGCTTGGGCACAAACCAGGTCCACGTCTTTTTCTTCTACACCCTTGTAGTCAATCTCGCCATCTTCTTCTTCTTCTTCCTGAATAGGTTGTGAAACCATCTGCCTGGCCCCACCATCTTTGTCCAGTACACTTGGCATCATATCAGCGGATTTGAATTTCTCAGCAGCTGCGACCTGAGCCTGTTGACTCAAATCTTCGATCTTGGCCTCTCCGAACACAATGTATGTGTCCGAAGCAGGGTTCTTAAAGACATCCGGGTTGTTGATGACGAACAGAATGTTTTTGGACTTGCGAATAGTCACTCGGTTCACTCCATGAATCTAAAAACCGTTAGGAAGCAAATAAAACGTTTGTTGGAACGTTGCAACGGGCACCACACAAACACACACATACCTGCTTAAGACCCAATTTGGAGATGATTTTCCTAGCTTTTTTCTCGCCCCTGGACTGTCTGGCCTTGTTGGACAAGTCCTCGGCGGTAACGGCGCTGGCGCCCTCGGCACCTTTGCCGGCCGCAGCGTCGGCGTTGCTCGAGTCGCTGTCGCTGTCGGCAGCGTCCTTCTTGGGCTCTTCGAAGCTGACTTTTTTGGTCGCGTCGATTTCCGTTAGTTCAGGCATGTCGGCTGCAATCACAAGCGCACTGGGTTAATAACGTTGCCCGTACGGTAAGGTTAACCAAGAAATAAGGTGGCGGACGGGCTGATCGGGTACTCGGTGGGACCGGACGTACCTGCGCGGACAGAACGTGCGAAAAGGCGGCAGACGGAGTTCGGAACGACCGCAAGGTTATGTACGGAAACGGGAAAAACGTGCTGTCCGGGTGGACGACGAGCGGTACGGGTTCGTAGAGATCGCAACACAGCGGTGGATTGTTGAACGAAACGGCGCGCGCAGTGTTGCCGCGCGCGATAACGTTAAAAGTCCCGTCGGCCGCGGGCGTCACGTGATCACGAGAACACCGTCGCGAGGTTAAGTGCGCACCGCCGGCGACCCGCGAATTAATGAAACGATAACCGACGGGCGGACGGGAGACGGGAGTGACGTGCCGCGTAATATTATTATTTTTGGATTTCACGTTTTTGCGGAACAACGTGCTACGGAACACGACGTCGGTCCGTTTCGATTTGTCCGTAAAATTCCTAAAATGTTTTCATCGCGCACACAACCGTTGCGCACGTACACGTTTGAAATGATTTTATATCCGTTAAACGAACGCGGTTCACGAAACGATAAAAATGGTCGAGTTGTAGTGAAAAAATTAGTCTATCGCGTAATAACGTGCTACGTGCGTTCCGGATAACGTGTCAAACGAATGTACGATAAATGTTTCGTTTTCAGTCGTTCCTGTACTGTTTACGAGTCGCTGCAAAGCAAGTCGTTCCCGCCCGTCCTTCGGTTGCTGCGATCCCCGTCCGAACAACAACAAGCTCCGTCGACGTGGTTGTGCCGCGCACATCGGACGGCGCCCTCAGCCACTCGCCGAAATTTTTTTTTCGACCTAAAAATCAGATGCAAACCAAAGCCCACGTTGTGCATTGTACACGGAGCTGAGAAAGCGTACGAATGCATTAATCTTCGCCCTCGGTACCCAAAGGTGCCCCCCCTCCCAGCCGTTTAGAATGTCTACCGTGACGTGTGTCTTACTTAAATTAGGTGATCAGAACCCGGTGACTCGAAAACGTATCGACTACCTGTGCCGGCCGAGGCGGTCAAGTTTATCATCGAACGAAAAAATCCTTCTAAGAAATTATTCTCCCCATCGTATTGTCTTCAAGGCCGTATCTAGAAATTTTTTTCGGGAGGGGTCCAAAACATGTATATTGTAATTTTATTGAATTAAGATGTTAATTTTTGATATTTGGTTAAAAATAAGACAGAAAAAGATTTAATCTTCTTTTATTAAAATTAATATCATATTTTCATATGATATTATGATATTAAATTAAAAGCAGTCAATGATTAATGGGAGCTTAAGTCATTTTTGACTGAAAATAATTATGTTGGTATTAAAAATAAATAAGTATTTTAAACATTCTTAAAATATTGAAGAAATTTCGGGGGGAGTCTAGACACACTGGACCCTCCCCCCCCAGATACGGCCTTGATTGTCTTATGTCATTAAAATGTTTTATTTAAGATTAAAGATGTATAACCATGGTTCCAATATTATTCATATTAAGGAATATGTCAGTGGCGTATTTTCAGGAGGGTTCCGGGTCTCGACCTCCCCCCCTACCAGAAGAAAAAAAAATAAAAATCATAAATTACTTGTTATCAAGGTACAGAGAAAGAAGACATTAATTTGAATCATGTGCATAGGCGCAATTAGGGGGAGAGGTGGCTGGAGGAGCTAAGCCCCCTCAAAAACATTCAAAGCCCCCCACCATATAAAACTTTATATTATTATATTGATAGATAAAAAAAATATGTGATTACTACTGAAAAAACGAATAAAATACATTTTTGTTATACTTTTTTTAGTAACAATATTATAATCATGGTCTTAAATAATATGTCTATTATTTCTAGAATCTAGACCGTGCTTATAATAGCACAGCGCAGAATATAATTATGTTTTGAAAAATATGTTAAAAGGAGTTCCTAACTATTTAACCATCAAAGAAAATATATCTAAAGATACGTTTCCAAATCTTTTTAAAATAATTTAATTTGCTATCACTCTTTCGGTCAGTTCAGCTATTTGCGGTCATTTTCTGCAATAAGAAGAATTAATAATTATCTTAGGTCAACTATGTCACAGGAACGGTTTTCGAAATTTGCAATACTTAATAATGAGAGAGATATTATTGTTGACACCGAAATTATTTTAAATACATTTGCTAAAAAAAATAGAAAAATAAGAATATAAAAACTATATTAAATCTGTTATCTATACTAAAAAGCAAATTATTGTTTTATTATTTATTTTTAAATTTTACTTGCTTTCCAATAAGCACATTTTTTATAGAGGGTAAAGGGTGGAAAAAAAGCTTCTGAGAGGCAGTGATTGAAAAATTTTTGTGAAGGGCTGGAGCCCTCTCCAATTTTTTTACTCTAATTGCGCCTATGATTCATGTGGGTTTGTAAATAACTCTTCATTTATATTTGTATAATTATTAATTCATAATTGATGTGTATTTTTTAAAATATTATAAAATAACTTTTTTTTTAGAAAAACAATCCTTTTTCCCAAAAAAAATTTAAAAATGCGTCACTGTATAAAGTATATTGTAATAAATACATAATAATTAATATATTTGCAGAACCAATTATACCTATACATCTATATTATACTGTGACCAAGATGAAATTTCAAATTCATCCTTATGCATTTTTAATTTAAAAATATTCTAATTATTATTATTATTAATAATAAATAATAGATATTATTTTCAACAGTTGCTTCTATTAATATAAAGGTATTAGATTTTATGCCTCTGAAAGGACTGATTCCATTAAATCTTAGTTTTCACGACGATCACTCTATTTTAAAGGCATCTATGATTTATGATGAAAATCTTACATTTAGTGATAGGTAATTCATGTCTTAGAGCTGAACTATGCATATGTGGAGATGTCAGTGAAATGATACGGATGGCAAGCCAAAATCAGTCGTCGATACACGTTTTCTGATACCAATTACTACCAATTACACGCAGAGAGAACATTTTCAACATCGAAACGTTTAAGACCGTACTCGAGAGGAGGAACGTCTTAATGAATTAGTTACGCTAAAAATATCAACAACAAATAAAAGCACTTATCGAAGTTCTACAACGGTTTTCGAAAACCTCAACCCAAGTGAATCGAACTATCGGACGAAGTAAAAAAAGCGTGTGTCCGTCGCCATTGTTTTCATTATTATGTTTAGTTTATTTTTTGTATATTTTTCGGAACCAAGAAAGCACACCTTCCCCGTTGTTCAAACCTAATCCCGTGGCAGTTGAGCGATTGTTAATTTTCAAGCCGCACCCCTACCCCCATTGAGAAATCCTGCGTTCTGGTAGTACCCGTGCACGGTTCGGTTCGAATCACAACACCACGACGTGCTATGGTTACGGAGCCCTGTTATCGATTTTCGAGCGCGACACACGTCGAACCCGTCGTCGTCGTCGTCGTCGGCCACCGCGGAGCAACCAACGGTATCGCGATCCGAAAAACCTTGACACGCGGTTACCGGTCGGGCTCCATTCGAAACCGCCGTTTTGATGATGTACTCAAAGGGAAAACAGTTGTTCATGAAAGGGACCACGTCCGCGGTGACGAGGAACGTGTCCGCGAACGTTGCCAAGCACCGGAAACCGCGGTACAGTTTCGCCGTCATCGACAGGCGAACGGTCCACGTGGTGGGCGCGGACGACGAAGACGACGACGACGACGGTCCATCGGCCGCGGCAGACGACGCGGGCGTCCGTCTAGACACGAACGTCGACTACGTGACACAAGTAAAACGAGCTGCACTGGGGGGGGGGGGGGGGGGGATCCCCGCCCCGTGGGCGAGGGGGGGGGCTTGGCCCTCCAGGAACAAGGTGTAAAGGATCTCGGAATCTTGCGCTTCAGACCGAGATAAGATCTTATCGCATCGACGGACCAGAGGCGTGTTTTAAGGAGGGCGAAGGGAGTAATTGCCCCCCTTGAATCCGCATTTAACGAATCTATTGCATGTGAGATACGCGTTTCAAATTTTTTTACCGTTCATCATTTTATAACGATAACAAATCACGCATGGTTGTGAATACTGAATTGAGCTTTTTGTCGGGTCCGACATGGCGAAAGATCAAATAAAACACAAGCGTAACTTTCAAAACACACACAGATGTTAAAAAAAGAACTACACAAAGTTCGATTCTAAGTGGATCCAAAATTAGATTAAAAAAAAAAAAACCACAAAAAAAAGGATGGCCCCCCCCACTTAAAAACATACCAAGATTCGCCTCCCCTTTTTGGGAGAAAAAAAAAAAAAAAAACCCCCCCCCCCCCCCCCCCCCCGAAGCAAGTTTAAATACGCCCCTGTAATTTAACAGGTTAACCGCTAAGTGTTGGTACCATACGCATAACTAAACCTTAAAGTTAGGGGGGTGGGGCTCCAGCCGTAGCATTTTTATAATAATAGGAAATTAAGTGAGGAACTTTTCCCCCAGTACACGTTAGTCGTTATTACTATTTTATACATAAATGGTACAAGAATATCTGAACATTCATTCTTTCGAGTGACAAATATTTTTGCATTTTATTTAGAATTTATTAATATTAGTACACTACATACAAGGCCGTATCTGGGAGGGGGTCCAGGGTGTCTGGACCCCTCTCGAAATGTCTTCAATATTTTACGAATGTTTAAAATAATTATTCATTTTTAATACCAACATAAATATTTTCAGTTAAGATTGACTAAAGCTCCAATTAATCATTGACTGCTTTTAATTTTATATCATAATATCATATGAAAATATGATATTAATTTTAATAAAAAAAGATTAAATCTTTTTCTACCTTATTTTTACCAAATATCAAAAGTTAAAATCTAAATTCAATAAAATTACAATATACATGTTTTGGACCCCTCTCGAAAAAAATTTCTAGATACGGCCTTGACTAAATGATATTTTACACCAGTGTTGTAAATTGGATCCAATTTCTGGTGGTGCAGAGGCATATTCTCAACTTATAATTTCCAACACACCAATTTTCCAATTTCCTAAGTAAAATTCTTCCCAATAAACTATATATTTCTTTAAATAACAAATAAATTTTGAATTATTTTAGCATTAAAACCTTTATTATTATAATATTAATAAAAATAAAAAATTAAATTTTGTTTTTAGTATGCTAATATCTTTGACTCTTGAAAATAATATTATAGGTATACAAATGATTTTCTGGTGGTGCAAAAACATATCTTTGCACTACCACATTTTAGATGTTTTGCAAGTGCTACATTTGCACTACCCAGTTTACGCCACTGCTTTACACAGTACATCACATACGATAATATAAAAGTTTGTCAATAAAAAATAAAACGATAGTTTAAATTTAAAAATGTAGCTATCAGACACAAAAAATAAGACCAATTGAAAATTTTTTTGTCTAGAGGGCTATGAAGTATTTTACTCGAGTTTAAATCGTATTTGTATGTAACTTATTCGGTATACACAGAGCAGCAGTCGGACCAATTTGTCTCAGGCCCCAGTTTAGAGAAATGTAAAAAGTGTCCCCTTACTGTCCTTAAGTCCAGACTGATTAGTAATATTTGGCGTTAACCATTAAAAATTATTGATATAAATATATTGTTTCTAAACTATTTTTCTTTATGAAATTTTTTTTTGTGTTTTTACGGTCTTTGAAGGACTTTTGCTGCTTTTACTACGTTCTATGAAATATTAATAAATTTAATAAAATAAAATTAACTTAAATTTATATTTAAGTGCTATTAAACGGGCTACATTTTCATTTATTTTTATTTCTAAATAATTATGACTGTAATTTATTATGATTATTGCCGGAATGTGAATAATGACATAATTTTATCCAAATAGATGTGAAAATTCGGTATCGCAACTGTGGACGCGACAACATCTGCTCTTATTTTCTAATGCTGTTTATAAATTATCTAGGAATAAACCAAATTTGTATGAAGTATGATAAAGACCGATAGATTCGTATTGATAGCAGAGAAAATAAAAATATGATTTCTGATAAAATTATTTCATTTTAAAATAATATTGAATATTTTTGATTATAATTTTAGCATTTGAAATTATTTTGTTTTTTATACACTTCCTATTAAAAACGGTGGTGGTAATTAGTAAGCAGTTGTACATGAAAATAAACTAAATTCCAATTACATATTGATGATATTCATGTAACTATAAAAATTAACTACCCATATATCTTATGTATCTATCCAATATCTTTTCTGAGAAATATATTTTTAAGGTACTTTGGTGCACACTCGGTTACATAAATTGCCTGGTGGTCACTTGTTCAGAGGGTATGATTGTTTACGATTGCGATAAACATTTCAAACGCATATATTCGCATAGTTGCGAGGACAAAAACATGAAAGAGAAGTATGCCAAAGGAATAGCTACTTTTGAATGCACATATCTGTGCGTTGGTAAGTGAACCGTTTTGTAAAATTGTATAAAATGTGACGAGTACAAATTTCTGTACGACTGAAGGTAATAGTAACGGATCGATTAGAATGTTTGGACCAGACGAAGATGGTCAAGTGGTATTTTTAGATCGAAAACTAATCCATGCGGCTCCCATCACGGATATGTCATCGTGCAAACAGAACTTGTTGTCTTGTGACGAGTCTGGTTGTGCAGTTATATCACATCTTGACTGTGGTGAATTAATGATTATTGCTCGAACAAAAGTATTTCCTGGGTTGGTATAACAAAAAAAATGAAATAGCTGAAAGCCATACATTAAGGTTTTAGGAATTATATTACCATGGTTTTAGATATCCATGCACCATAACCGAAATTACTAGAATGGGCTTTTTAGCAGTAGGTTATGGTTGCGGTACAATTCGCATGTTTGATCCAGCCATTAAAATAACAAATGGTGATGCTGAAGACCTTATTCTACCTATGATGATTCAGGTGTCAGCACATGCTCGTTGTATAACATCCATGTCAGCTGCTAAAGATGCAGATCTATTACTGAGTGTATCTGAAGATTCGTGGATAAGAATTTGGAAAATTCACTCCACAGTAATGATTGCTCAAAATACTATTTATTATTTTTTTTTTTATAATGATTCACATTTCAGACGGTTACATTAGCATATTGTTACATGAAGGAGGATACATTGTTTATGGGATGTCAATTCATCACTAGAAATGGATCAACATTTTGCACAACAGCATACAATTCACCTTACATAACATGTTACAGATTAAAGCAATAGTAGGATATGTAAATTTTAATTGTAAAATTAATTGATACAGTAAAAAAAAAAAAAAAAACAGAATTTTAAACAAGACATTGTATTTTTATTGTAAAAGTAGTGGCTTAAATTATATAAAAAAAATTAGAAATTACGAATATAATTTTAGTTACTTCAATATTTTGGATGCATTCAGTTAATAGGTTCCTTATGAAGTTTAAAAATCTACCTAACACATAATACATACAGATCGGACTAAAAAAAAAAATTTGAAATTAAAAAAACTTAGTTGTTAAATAAATCCAGAGGACAGCGTCTCTTGTTTTATTTGGAATTTATACATCCAGGAACATACCCGATGTTCAGTTAGACTAAAAAAAAAAAAAGAATTATTTTTTATTAAACTACATTTATATATATCTTAATCTTAATAAGAATACAATCAATTCAAATATAAAAATATTTCTATAAAAAACATCAATAATACTTCAGTCCACAAGAAAATAAAAACAGTAGCCCAAATAAAACATGAGTTTGTGTAGATCATAAATGTGATTGTTATCAATTAGCAACAATATACAGTATACATAGTACCTAAGTTTTTTTTTAATCAGATTATAAATACAAAATGGTTTACTTCTCTTTTTGACAGAGTATTATAACTTATTAATACATCATATATAATCAAATTATATTTACTTCGTCTACTTTAGGCCTCTTGGCTGCTTTCCCTCCTTTTGAATTTGAATTAGCAGCTATTTTACGTTTTTTTTCGTCTACCTGGAATGAATGTAAAAACATGATATAATAAAAATAAAAGAATTGAAAAATTATGTTATCAGAAAAAATGTAATGGTGAACAGGTAATTAGAAAATAATAGAGTTTAAATTTGTCGTTTACACTATTTTTTTCTTCTTCGATCACTTCTTCTTCTTCTTCTTCAAATTCTTCATCTATTTCATCATCATCTTCTTCGTCAGCCATTCCTTCGCCAGCTACTCCAAAAAAAATGTGAGAAGTAAATTATTATTTATACTATACACACACATACGCACACACACAAAAAATATCAGCTCAGATAATAAAAGATTCATCAAAACAATTATCAGACGCAAATTACCCAAAAATAACTCATCATAGCTAGATAAAAAATGTAGTATGAAAAATTAATGGTTATAAATACTTACTACCAACTGAATGGTTGCCTAATAAATGAACAGGGCCATTTCCTTTTACAAGTTTAAATGTAACTGGTGGATCAGGGAACAAAAGATCAAGTACACATTGGCTATGACCACCTCCTCGTAGAACAACAACGGGAAACTTGATATCTGACTTATAACCCATTGCTTCCACTTCAATAACATTCACTTCACCGTCGGCTACATCTGGTCCAAGAACAGCCTATATACAGTTTAATGTATGGTTAAATGTTATTTATTAACAACTGAAGTATTAATTCATGTATTTACCTGTTTCACGAGTAAAGTGTGTTCACCTCGGAAAACGTGAGAACTGTCATTAGCATCGGGTTTAACATCAGGGTCCCAAACTTCAGTATTCTTTGTTTTGTCCAAAGTGACACCTGGAGAAAAAAAAAAGTTGATCGAAAATTAGAATACATGAAAGTAACAAGACATCGTACTTCAGATATTTAAATTTCTATTACCATTCATAGACAAGAGGGAGTAATAGGGGGGGGGGGGGTAACGGAGGCTAAAAAAAAAACAGGGAACCATTGTGTGTACCGGTCGGTTATTGGTTTTCCCGTATATTCACATTGCAAAGGTCGTGTGGTAACAAAGTGCGACACCTAGTGTGATCAAAGCCGACGGGGTAGCCGTTCAACGAACGCATGCGTCGGAACATCGGAATAGGCGAGAATACGAGAGAAATAGGGATCGGACGAATGACCGTGAAAATATCGTAGTCGCCGACATAAGTAAATGGGGGGGGAGGGGGAAGAGAGGAGTTTGACGCGTGACCATGTGACTTTTAGGCTACCGTTGGTGAATTATCGTGGGGCCACGAAGGAGGAAATTGCGCGCGCGCGCACATTGATCGCTTAGGTAATGTAATAGCAGTTAAGGCAGCAATAGTATAATGATGAGTTGGTCGTCAGACGACGAACGAAATTAGGAATTACGCGGGTGATCGAAGGACAATAAAAAAAAAAATAAAACCGCGTTGTCATTCGGCGGGCGCGAGGTAGCGGACGGCCGCGTAACCCCTTGTGCAGACGATTGCTCGTGCTGAACGCATGGCACGGCAACTATACTCACCCCAGAAGTAGTCTTCAGTCATCTTGATGTTCTGACCGTTTGTTGACGGAGCCAACGAGAAAATGTTTTCGCCACACGGACAAGAGCAACGAGAAAAACGTTGACGGTGCCCGGGGGGGAGGGGAGAGACTGTACGTAACGGATACGAGAGCACGGTACGACAACTGCGACAGTAATGGCCGACCGCGGTTGCCGTCGTTGTCCTCGCCGCCGTTGCCGGTAAACAAAATCCGTTGTTCGTGCGGTCCACCCCTCCGCCATCCGTCGCGCCATCTACGGACGCCACGCCGGGTCAGTGTGGCCATAAGCCACCGACAACGTTGTTTTCGGCTGTTACATCTGGCCACTCTGCACTCTCATCAATCGTATTATCTGTTTGTCGCTCATTGGACAACGTAGTTGCCACGTTATCTGCGCGCATCGTTTGGATTTTCGACGTTTTTATCCGATAGGTAACTTTTGGGGATTGGACGAGCTTTTTCGCTTTGAATTTTAAAATACCCCGACCGTCCCCGACCGGATCGAACGTTTGCACAGGTGTTGCGACAAACAAAAACGTAATATATAACGCGTACATCATAATATTATGCACTATAAATTATAGTGACCGCGTACGTTAATCATCATTCGATCTCGTAGCCAATTCACTGATCACCATTTCGATACGGTAACAAATCGAAAATGTTTCAAGTGTCTGTTGTCAAAGTGTGTGTGCTCCTTCTGTTAGCCGCCTCTATGGGTGTGTTTTGGTACCTGGACACCAAATATGATCGCTGGGACCAAATATTGTCTGAGCCTGATAGTTTGGTTGTTGAAAATGTGCCCGAGTCAATTGTAAACGATAGTTTCAAGCCCAAAGCGTTCATTCCCACGAAAGAATGGCAAATCATCGAAAAAGGTACTTTTTAAGTATTAAAACGAGAAATTCCTCTTCTATACTCAATTTGTGCATAATATTTTACCAATAAGTTTTGAACTAGCCTACTGCAATTATTAGTGGTTATATTGCTTAAATGTTTATATTTAATTTACTGTTAAATTTACCAAATGTTTAATGGAATGTTTTGGATGTATTCGTAGTTTCATTTTTTATATTAATTTGTACTGGAATAATATTTTTCTTAATCACTCACTCGAAAATACGGCTGCATACTAGTTGCACAGAAATTCTGTGGCAGAATAAATAATAATTATAGAATAAGCTGTGCTTGTTGCAGACATATTTTTTTAACATAATAATTACGAACAACATTTAAACGAATAATATATGAATTGCGGACATAAATATAACATGCAAGTTACGAGCAAATTTCCAATCATCATTTTTGATATGATGACTGCGGACGCAAGTTCCGATAGACGATGGGCAATTTATGTTATAGTGATATCGATTAGACCAGTGGTCTTCAATATTTTTGACTCCAGATCCACTCTTCTTACCATATATTTTTCGCGATCCATGTCAGTATTGTTGGTCATCAAAAAAAAATAAAGTTAAAATTTCATAATATATGTCATTGTAGAAGTGTTTTTATGATTGAACATATATTTTTCTAGGTACCTAGGTAATATTTAATTTTTATTGTGAGTTATAATACAAAAAAAAAAATGATCCATATTGACACTTAATTTTTCCATAGAAAATACTCCATTTCGGCTTAATTTTAACTATGTAATTTACAGATAAATGACGAGTGAATGAGTTTTATCAACGAAGTCAGGCATCGCTATACCATTTGATGTTCATTCTTATCTTCTATAAAATAGTACAGTTTTGGGTTTAATCCAAAATTATTTTACCCAATGTCATTACGACATTCATAATATAATATAATATTATATAATTTTTTAATTTTAAGCTGAAGACTTAACGCAATATTATCTTAAAGTTTACGCGACCCATCAGTTGAAGACCTCTGGATTAGACAACGATTAACATTATTATTTTTACATATCTATAATTTAATATTTTTTAATTGACATTTTTTCAAATCAGTTAAACGATGATCTTACTTGTTGTCTGTATATCTTTCGTCTTTATTTTAAAACGTACAAGAAAAAACTTAAAGAATTATGCGTAAATGATGGTTTTAAAAAATGTAGGCATCAACTAAATATTTAAAAATTTTTGACGAGTGCCTCACGTTTGCCCATCATACCAAGTACTAACGCAAACAGGCAAATAACCGACTACATTTTCTTAGACATTTTTTTAAATTTAAAATGCAGCTTAAACTGAAAATTCTCATCTACAAAGCCGCAATTCAATTCGACCTGTGTGGTATGTGGCATTCAAATTTGGGGCCCTGCTAAACCATACGTCCTATTCAAACCTTTCAGTTTATTAGTCTCAAGCCCTCCGCACACGAGTCGACACGATTTATGCAATATATGCGATACGAGCGATTTCCTATAGAAGTTAATGGGGATCCACTAATGACGCAATTTAATAACGACGCGAGCGACAGACGTCACGCGCGACCGACAGTGCTGATCGCTTGACAATCGCGTCGCAGAATCGCGCGTAATTACATTTTTATTTTCGTCATATATTATTTATTTATTTATAATTTTATCTAAGGAGGCATTCAATATTAAATTTGTTGAAATTAAAATCCTTCTTCACTCACACATTCTCTCATGTTGGTATTGTTCTGATAAATGGCAGGAGATATAATGTCTACAATTTCTTTGTAGGATTCCTTTGACATTCTGTAAAACGCTACAAATTTAACGTCAGTTTCCTGAAGTTCTCTAGCCGATACAAAAAGTTGACAGTGGTTATTTATTTGAATATAAAGATGAATCCTAAATTTCCTTCCATGATCTTTTCTTGCTTTTTTCTACCAACCAACTTTTTGTACAAATAGTAGGTACGTAAAAATTTTTTTCTTCGTCACTAAATGAACTCAGCATTTTTAAAAAGGTAATCAAAGAACCGAGCAAACGTCAGTAAACGACTGATAACCGAATAATACATAAATAACGGTGATAATAATCGCACTACAATCGCATCGTGGCGCTCCCGTAATCGCACAGATTGCTTGTATCGCATATATCGCATAAATCGCGCAAGAATAGTGTCGCGTTACAATCGTCTCGTGTGTGGAGGGCCTTAGACTTATAACTCGAGCTCCCTAGTATAATACCAACGAATTTCTTCATAAAGGCCTCAATATATCTACCATCATAGAATTGGCAAAAACACATAACCATTTTCACGATAAACTGAAAAGCCGATTGAATTTTCTCGTCCGCAATATATCATCCTTATCTCTCCTCTGAAATATTCATTGATTAATAAGAAACTGATCTAGGGATTTGATCGATTCCTAAAAGTTAAAGTAATAAAAAAAAATTCTAAGGTGTTAATGAACAACTTCTATAAATCAACCATGTGCTGTATTATATACCTGTAACATATTTATTTAATGTTTTAGTTAACATAAGTAAATATCTTTTAAATAATAAAAATAAATAAAAATACGGAATGAGAATTTCATTAGTTGTATTTAATACAATTGTGGCCATGTTCAAAGAAAACGTGAAATGCATTTTTAAAAATTGATACAATTGGTGTTCAAATAGAAAATCATTTTGAACATAACTATGCGGCTGTTGATGAATGAACTCAGGCGGCAGAGAATAAGCAATGGTGTCAAACACAAAGCGGTAGAGAAGCTATATGAAAGGCTTAGCACAATTATACACTCTGAAACTTCCCTTAACAGACACCTCCAAATAACGGGAATATTTTCACTAATTTATAGAAAAACTTCTAAAACTGGAACACTTTCAATAACGGACATTTTTATGACGTTTCAATTTTTTATTGTAAATTAAGAATAATTGTGGAGTATGTAAATTAAAATCTATATTATTAAATTATATTTCATTACATACATTATTATAAAGTATAATATATCTTATTCATTCAGTCGTTGAAATACTGTCCAATTTTTATGATAACTATATTTTTTTTTTGTAAAATAAGGATATCTACTTAATATTTTTGTATTTTTATTTTGTTATATTTTTTGATTAATTACCAATTCATTAAAATCTTTTGAAAAATAAATATTTAATACATTTTGTCAAATGCTATGATTATGTATTTATAAAAAAAATGTTAAAATTATAATTGCTTAAATATTTTTGTATTTTCAGGTTACATTCACAATTAGTATGTTGATAGTGCCCGCAATTGTTATGTTATAATTATGTCAGCAACTAGTATGTTACATTACTATCCGTATTTTGTATGTAACCTTTTTAAGTTTTGACCACAAATCACATAATTTTTATTATTTTATCCACAATTCAAAAACTGCAGATGATACATTGATGGTTTTTAGTTTGTTTATAATGTTAATATATTTATTCTAGATCAACCAATTCCTCCTGGACTTCATGTTAAAATTAACTTACAAACTGGTGAAAAGAAAGCTAAATTGATGGAAGATAATGAAATTAATAATTCTAACAGTTTGGCTATAACACATTCTAACATCTCCAAAAATGATGTAAGTAGTATATATGTTTTACTTTATTACAAATTTATATAGTTTCCCAATATATGATTTTAGAAACAATCAAATAATCTCCCAGAAAAGGTACACAAATTTAAGTCTTATGATGAAATCAAAAATGATCTTGGCACATTAAACATGATTGTAAAAAGTGATATAGAAATTATGGATGAACTTTCTACAAAATTCCAAAATCAAGTAAAAATATATGAAGATACTCATCAAAGTCTTCAAAATATTTTAATTGATCTTGAATATTTATTACACCAAGTTGATACAGCAGAAAGTTTCGTTAAAAATAATGGGTAATATATGTTGAGCAGAATTTAATGTTCATTCATTTTTGTTTAAGATATACATGTATATGTTACTGGAAAAAATAATAATTAATTAATGTCGACAATGGCTAGTTAACAACGACAATGCCTGGTTTAGTATGGAATTGTCATAAATAACTAGTAATTGACATTGGTTCCTTAAAAAAAGAAGACAATTTTGTTAAATATTGCAATTACATTAAAATATGAAATAAATTATTTATTATTTATTACAATAGAGTAAGCCATCATTGTTTTCTTTGCAATATTGGCATATTTTAATTTAAGTTCAAGCATTATATGGTCGCGGCCGATTGTTGTATGTATAGAATTAATTATTCTAAAAGTATATTAATTTTCACATAACAACGCAAACTCTCTGTAGCATTGGTCATAGTTCTAATAAGATGATCTTTACCATTGATAGCAATAACATTATACTTACATGTATTCCTATAATCTTTTGTATACTTCTTTTATTCGGCCGTGGATAGCGTTATTTTGGACTAATTTATTACTGCATTTTGTTTGCAATATTCATTATGAATAAAAAAAAAAAAGTATTGTTATTATCTTTATTTTTCAATTAATAATGCAGTAAGTCAAAATTATATTCTATATATATAACTTTTATAGTTAGACTAACGTCCTGCCAGTATTATTTTGTACATTTTTTTTTAAATTTTTTTTCTGTACTTCTAAATTTGAATATTTTATGGATTCATTATTATAGACAATGATCACACTAATAAATGAATTTTGACAAATACATCAATTTTTTTAGTAGTTGTAAATATTCTTGTAGTATAGTATAATTTTACATATAACAATTAAGTTGTATATTACATTTATTATTGTTTTACAACAAAAACATTTTCATTGAACTTTGTTAGATAAATGGCAGTGGTTCAAATTTTTATAAAATTAATTAAATTCTTATTTATAATTTGCTTAAATAAAATATGAAAATAAATTAATTATTACCTTTTGGTAATTTGAACTTGATCAGTCAACAATGTAGAACTAAAATTAAAAAAATATTGCTTCTGTAAATTGAAATGACTAAAAAATTTCTAAAAATTTTAAAAATTATTTTTCAAATGTATGAATCACTATGCATAAATTCAGTTATAACTATCTAAATTTTATTATTAATATAAATAAATTTTATATATTTTATATAATTATAAATCTTATTATTAATTTACTTTTAATAATTCTAATTAATTTTTTATAGGATAAAAACAATTATAATTCCTTGTATTAGTAGTTCTTCAAGTTTTATAAAATCACAAGGAGCACTACTCTTAGGTTCAGCTGCTTCTAACAATCAGAGAGTTCAAATTTCTGCTATAAAAGCTGATGTTATTCCACTTTTGTTGAATCACATTAGTGATGAGTATGATTTTAAGGTAAGTGGCTTGTTCATGTCTAAGTATTGTTTATTTATTAATATAATAAAATTTGTATTTAGGTTCAAAAAAACTGTATCTATGCATTATCGACAATTATTAGGCATTTTCCCACAGCACAAAAACAAGTTATAGATAAAGATGGTATTAACATTTTGATGTCTGTCTTAAAAAGACCTGAAACTGATTCAAATGCAAAGCTTAAGGTAAAATACTTTATTTACTTTATAATATTGATAAATTAAACAAATTGTGATAATATTTTGTATGTTGTTGTTGATTTACATGTTAGTTAAAAGTTTCCAATCTTTTGCAAGACTTAATAGTTGAAATTGAGGATGCTAAACTAACTTTGATTGAAGAAGCTAATGGCAGACGAAGTTCAGAAGCCAGGGAAAGGGTTCGCCAATATGAAGAATTACACTTAAAAGATAAACTTGTTGAAAGTGGATGGTATGCTATTACTGATAATATTAAACCAATGTTATAAATTAAATTTAATTGTTCTTGTTTATTGTTAATTTTATATATAGGTGTGAAATTATAGCCGATGAATTTATTACATTATCTAATCTACTACCAGCGAAAGAAGAAACCAATGACACGATTGTAGCTTCTGGAAAATCTTTATTAGCAATACGTAATTTATGCAAAGATAAATTAAAAGGAAATAAGCTGTTATATGATTCGTTATATAAATTAGAAACACATTACAAAAAATTAGCTAAACAAGATAACAATTTGAATCCAATATATCAGTTATTGAATGAGTTAACTAACACTTATGATCCTGTATTAGTATAGTATTAAGTGTTTTTCATTTATGATTGTAAAATTTACTTTATAAATTTAAAAGAACTGTGTGCAACTAAATTGTGGATAAATGTTTTTTTTTCTGTGATATAATTTATTTTTAACTTATCAATAATATATATTTAGTTTAAGAATACAGTGGAACTTTGATTATCTATCGGGCACCGGACTAAAACCCTGATGAATAATGATATTGATGGTTATCAGATATATAAAAACATTTTTTTTTTTTATGAAAACAAACACAAATTATTTTTATTTGTTATACATGTGTATGTGTATATTTTAATATGAAATACTGTAATGAATAATTTTAAAAAATCGATGTAATTAGTTATAATTTTATCAAGATTTTACTAATATTCTACACGGAAAATTTTCAATAATGATAAATTTTATATTTATATTTTTCAGTAAATATCAGGTACATATTTATTTTTGAGTATGATGGTTAAAAGAAGTTCCATTGTAATAGAAATATTTTAATCATTTTAAGATCTACCAGTTAATTATTTTAATACAAATAAATATTTTTTTGTTGAATATGTTTAATAGTACATTTAATACTTACATTAAACCTTATCAAATGTTAGTCATATGTATGTTTGATATTTAATATATCGTAAAAGTATGAGTCATTTATTATTTTCAAATTTACAGTAACAAATTTTTACTAAAATAAAATAAAAATCAGATAATTCAATTCTACAGTAGTTTCAACTATAGCGGAATTAAAAAATAATATTGAAATAAAGATAAAAACTTAAATGTTTTCCTCATCGTATTTTATTAACTTATATTCAACAGTTGTATTCAAATTATTTTTAAAATGCTATACTCTGAAAAATGCATATTTTATTTAATTTTTTTAATATTATAGAAATTCTTTTTGTCAAAACAATGATTTTATCTTTAATGATGGACAAAGCAAGGTTATAACAAAATATATAATTCCATTATTGTAAAATCAATACTGCTATATAAAAAATTTTTCATTTTATAACAAAAAAAAAAAAATCTAATGTATTAAAATAATTTTAAATTGCTTTGAAAAAAAAAAAATAATTAAATCATTTTTCTATTTTTTCCCCCCAATAGTTTCATAAAATAAAAGTTTTCAAGTTTATTTTAGACATGTATTTTATGTACATGACAACAACCATGTATATTAAAAGGGATTATGAAGAATGGTTATGTAATAATATATCATATTCCTCTCCAAAATTCAAAAGGTATTAGATGAAATTTTTTATTTATAACTATATTTCAGTTTTTTATGTTAATTTAAGGTATTAAGCTTTGCTTCAGTTAAATAATTATTTTACTCATTAAACAAGTTATTGTCTATCTCTTAATTTACATCACAGAATAGATTAATCTATTCTGTGTTTATATCACTGTTTTCTAAATGTTTTAATACATTATGGAGATATGAATTATAACAGTTTTATTGTTTGCATGGCTTACACCATCTGACTTATCATCTTTTTGCATTATTTTAACCATTAATTAAACTATGATATGTTATGCTGTTGTTCTTGAATTGAATAAAATATATTGAAATTAATCGTGGGGAGGAAGGCGTCATATGTTGTTCAGTGGCGTAGTTTTAGTTTTTGATAGGGGGATGGGCAACATTTTTGACAGGCCCACACTACTGGGGAATAGAGTTTCGCTCACATGTCTTAACTTATACTTAAGGCACATATTTTATATATTATTTTATTATACAACTAAAATTTTTCCAAAATATAATTTTGTATTTTATAAACGTTACTTAAACAAGGTTAACTTAATCTAACTTAATTCTAAATTAATCTAAGTTGTGAGCAGATATCTTCTATTTTATAGAATTGTAGAACTGATCAACGAATTAGCTTCACTTACACTCCCTGGCAACCCAACTAGACGTCTCAAAAAAAAACTGGTACCGCGACTTACTAAAAAATACTTAATAATATTCAGGGATGTCACTAATGTGTGATTTCCTCCTCATGTGTATAATATAACCTGTAAATTATCTTTAAAATATTTATATTACTTATTGTACTCGATGTATAGATAGTAATCTTTCATAATAAAGTCAAATATATTTTTTTTTTAAAAAAAAAGAAAGTTTTTTGCAGGTAAGAATTAATTTTGAAGTTGTGAATTATCAATTTTAAAATGACTACAATAATTATGGAAAGACAATAAATAGGGACTTTTGAAATTAAAATAATCAGGACTGGAAGAAAAGAAAATATTACAAGTAAAAATTATTTCATTGCTAGAATTACTAAAACGATGGTTAATTTCATTAAAAAATCTAATATTCTTGTTATCATGTGTCTATTTATAGTTTATACCAATTGGCAATTACCAAGTATTGTGTCAATAAATAATTATCTAGTACGCAGTATTTTCTAAATTATAAAAATACGCTTGATTTTTCACAAATAATGGCTTATGGTTAAACGACAACGACCGGCCCTTTGGGATGCTTTTTAATCAGACGGGCAAATGCCCACCTTGCTCTCACCCTCCAAATGATGCCGCTGATGTTGTTACCTTAGAGTGTTATTGGTAATTAGGATGGTACTGGGTCTGATTGATCGGTAAGATGTTTTAAAGCTACGCTTTACAATGTGTAATAACTGTAAAATGTAATTATCTAAACAGTTATTGGGCGTGAAACAAAGCAGGGACGGACTGGGAGGTTATTGGTCCAGGGGGTAACATAGCTAAGCGGCCTAAATATACATACGATGATAGATTTATAATTTAAAGTAAATGTACATTTTATCTGTAAGGCTGTTAAAAAAATACATAAATACATTTATAAAATTTAATTTCCTTTTTTTAGCATATTAACATAATCATTTTTTTTTTAATTTGTATTCTATTTACAATGTATTATTTTCAGATTTTTTAACTTAACATTTTTCTCGTTAACGGTGAGTTTTCTTTCACATATTCTAAAATATCATCAAATGATATTTCCTCCAATAACTCTTTCTCAACATTCATCATCATAAATGCTTCTAACTTTTCCTGACCAAGTGATGAACGTAATCTATTTTTTATAATTTTCAACTTACTAAAATATCGTTCACAGTTAACCTGTGTAAAAGACAATGTTAACAAATATTCATAAGCTAAAAATATATTGGTAAAAGCTACTAAATGCATGTTATATTTGTACAACAATTTATAAAAACAAACCAAACAACCATAACATTTTGTATTTTTACAACTTTCATCTCCTGTAGAATTAAAAATAACTGTATTAGTTTATTGTTTCCTATGTCTTTAAAATATTCTGCTTACCAGTTTTATTGTTAGGATTCCTACCAATAATATTTTCATCACCATTATTTAACAAAGTTCAACATAACTACAAATAATTGTGGTGCTAAATTGTAATAGTCAATGGTGCCTCAGACGTATTTTTCAGGTGTAGTAAAATATTATACTTACTCACCATAGGCGTACGCAGATCTGAATTTCCAGAAGTGCTTACTATACATTGGTACCTATCTTAACAAAACGTGCAGGTATAGGTATGTATTTAATAATTTATAATGTGTACATTATTAAATAAATCATAACTTTAATTTTTTTATTTAATATTGTTATTAGTGCCAATGAATATGTTTTCTTGAATCTCATATATTATCTTTAATTATTTATGATTTCTACTTTTTTGATCAATTGTAGCTATTATATTATCATAATAAGTTTTTGCACGAAAATTTAGAAAATTCAGTTTTGTTTTTTCTATTATGAAAAATCATTTATTTTGACAAATGATTTACTCGACAACGTATGTTTCTGAACTGTATTCATTAATGCGCACACCATTGGCAGATCTAAGGCCCCCTCCTGGTTTAGGACGTCAGATGACTCACAGTTAATATTTGTTGACAAAATTGGCCTATCGAAGACTTCTTAAATTTTTAAATGTACCTACTATAAGTTTAAGTTAATACTAAATCGAGGCAAATTCACCAGTAGTTACCCTCCAAATGACGCCACTAGCTTAATTATATAGTATAGGAAACTCCATGTAAGACGGAGTCCTTCATAAAATAAAATAAATGTTAATGTTTTCAATAATAATTACAAATAAACTTAAAAACACATATTATATTGTGCTATTTTTTTGTTGTTACAAGGTATACATTTATAATGTAGATTCAGTCTTAATAAGTAGTCTCTTGATATAGCCTGACCTGACCCACAGTCTGGTACAGACCAGTGTTCGTGTAAATAGTAAGTAACAACTAGTGGTGTGCGATTCGTACCTTCTTTCGCGAAACGTGTATGAATGTAGAACAAGGACGGATCCAGCATCTATTTACGGTCGGGTCACTTTATAGAAGAATTTACATAATATAGCTGAACATAGACGTATGCCTTGAAGGGAGCTTACACCTCCAAAAAAATAATGTGATAATATTGTACTAAAACTGTCGAAATTTATTTTTATTATTTATTATTTAGTTTTCCTAAATATACATAATTTTCAATACTATTTCTCAGGGCTTATTCTAAGGATTTTTACCTAATGCCCAAACACACTGAAAAGTTTGTTTTATGAAATTTATTTGCATAATAAATAATACTTACCTCCATCCTCAAATACATTTTATACTGATATTTTAGAATTTTGACTATCACGTGGGAAAATATTAAAAAAAAAAACGGATCTTTTCTGTTATACGTAAACCACTATTAAAATTTAAATTTCATAGATCTATCAATCATCGAAGTAGCAAAGATTGTAAACTTACATAATTATTACTTATTAGGTACTAGGTTGGATTTATAGATTATACAGATTTCAAATACTCAGTAGAAATTCAATCATTTTAGAAGAAAAATTTTATTTTTGTAAGGTGCCCATATGCATAAAGTCAACTGCCCTTTTGATTTTTCCTTCTACTTAATTTGGGTCCTACTACCCGTTAGAGTAAGACCTGCTATTTCTATGAGTTTCGTTGTCTAGGAAGAATCCGAAAAAATCTAGGAAAAACCACGCGTTGATATAGGCATTCATTATAGAATAAATTCTGTTAAATTCTGTGATAATTTTATAATCAATGATATAGGTAAACGCGTAGAACGTACATACTGCATGTACATTAGTAACGATCCCCATGAGTTTGATGTTATTGTTTTAAGACGATCAATAGGATGGTAGTCGGAAGATTTTGCGATAAAACATTGGGCCTCGGGAGTTTAGGACATGGCGATAGTAAGATTCGTTGTCAACGCGCAGGCACGTAGAGAGGGGGTGGGTCCATGGAGTTTGGACCCTCCCAAAATTTTTTAATTTTGTATCAATTACGTATTAAAAGTGACGATAAAAAAAATCAATGATTCCAATTATATTCCAAGAATTTATGGAATATCATATTATAATATTATATATAGATTGTTATCGGCGTTTGTCCCGTTGTTTGTCTGAAAGCATGTATAATTACATTATAATATATGTATGTTTATATGGGAGTCATCAACTATAGATAACATTTTGATTTTCTTTGTATACCTAACTTGAACATAGTATTAAATTTATATTTTTCACTGATAATAATTATTGTTGAACTATTTACAGTTGCTGAGAAGTAAGAACGTTCAGTTTTGACTTTTAATGTGCGGTATTATCGAGTAGGTAAATAGAACATACGCTTATATGCAGACAGGCCGTTTTTTAGTTGAGTATTATTTTTGTTGTTTTTTAAAACTTTCCGTCATGTAGAAGGAGGTATGCTTGAAAATTATTTTAAAACAACTTTTAAAAAATGTGTGACTAATGTGGAACCAAAAAGTGAACACGTAGTCATCGGAGAAAAATTAATAGCTGATGACTCATCGAGTAGTTCAACTCTCAGAGGCGAACGCAGAAAAAAATTTACTGTATACATCAATTTACAAAACCCGGGAAAATTTTAAATAAATAATAATTTTTTAATTTATTTATTAGTAATACATTTGTAGGTCAGATATTTTATTTTTTGTTCCTGATATTTCGTAGGGGAGGGGGGGGGTTAACATCCTTGAGTTCGCCCTTGTCAACTTTAGTATTACAGGCAGCTAAAGATGCGAGTTCGTCTATTTGTTATGATTTGAACTTTTTTTTTCTCCCAACATTATTGGTATTTGGTGACTTTATGTTGAACCCCTCCCCCAAAACAAAAATCCTGGTTACGCACCTGTCGACGCACGGAGATGGAGAACTATTGGGTACAAGATAGTGGCTCGGATGAGTCGTAGATACGGGTTTAGCTCGGGGAAGCGTTTCGCAACAAAACTGTTTTTTTGAACACGATGGTAATGAGAATGATACGAGGGCTGTTGGTGTGTGCTTAGGGGATGTAGACAATCAAGACGAGTGGAGGTCACTCGGAATAGTTGGGAGAAGGGCGAAGGCAGTGATGATCGGACGACTGTGAAAAACACAGGTCGTACACGAACACCGGATGGGCGAACGAGTTGAAGAAAAACGTTGTCTATCCGTTGTTCCGTGCAGTGGCGTAGCCAGGATTTTTAATTGGGGGGGGGGGGCTTACTACTTTTTCGGATAAGTAAGGTAAGAGAGGATATGTGAATTCAGCCTTAACCCCCCTCCCCCTCACCATCTACCACCAAGTTTCTAAACGTAATTCAAGCATTTTAGTATAGTTTTAAAAATATTTATTAATATATAATTTATAATAATAATAATAATTTTGGTTTCAGTGTTCAGTCACTTGCTCCACTCTGACAGCTGCATCCTCTTAGGCGAATTTCTGGCAAATTCAGTTATTATTTCACTTTCATCGAATTGCTCTTTTTTATTTATATTAGCCAACCCATTCAGTCTGTTTTCCGACATGGTGCTTCTTAAAAAAATTTTTAAGCGATTAAGTGCTGAAAACGTTCTTTCCGGAGTGAAAGAGGTAACTGGTAACGTGGCGAATAATTGTAAAAGTATTTTAATGTTAGGTCGGAGATTGGTGCGATGAGAGAGTGAATCAAGAGCTGAAATCGGTTTTGGATTAGTATTTTGACTCCATTGTTGCCTCCATATGAACAGGTCAGCTCTGATTGTAGATGAGGTATCATCATGAAGATCTTGGACGTATACTTTAGCAGCTTTTATAATATTTTTATCGTCATACATATTTAAATTGGCCGAAATAAGTCCTTCAAGTGGCATAACATCAATAAGCCTTTGATTGAAACGAGGATCCATTGATTTTATTAAATAGTCAAGATACATTATACATATAAACACGGCCCATGGGGGGGGGGGCTATAGCCCCCTTAGCCACCCTTGGCTACGCC